TCAAGCTTTTAAGTTAAAATTACATGAGTATATAGATTCAGTCAGAATCATTCAAATTCAGTTTCTTGTAACATAATGCTGCCACCTGCTGGTAGGCCATGTGTTTTTCCTTTTTATTGGGATCTAACGGACCAGTGGTAATCGTTAGCATTAGTGCGGTTTTAGTGGTTACTTTACTTACTTAAAGGCCTTGTAGACTGGCCGGTACCAGCAGAGGAAGGAGCAGGGGGTAAACAGGATGAGCCAGAGAATGGAGAGGCCGAAGTCAACGCCGTGCGCTGAGCTGCCAATGAATTCAGCCAGGCACGCCAGCAGGTTGAGGAACAGAGTCACACAGTAGACTGAAGGAAACAGCACAGTGACTGTCATCATCAGCAAACGCTGAATTCATCCAGAATTCAACACAGTGAGAAGATAAGAACGCTTACACATCCAGAGGTAGTACATCATTTTGCAGACTCTCTGGTACTCTGTAGGAATTTCCTCTGAGAAGTCCTGATAGAAACACGGTTTGATGGGGAAGAACTTGGGAAGCGGAGGCCAGTTGTTCTCCTTACCTGCCGAAACAAAAGGTAAAGTTATTGTGAGTTTTCTGAAGCATCGGTTAAACGAGCAGAGCGTAACCACAGGGGCTATCAGCACATAAAGCCTCAAAGGAAACAGTGATGGTAGAAATGAACCTACAGTAGCAGCCATTCAAAATGGCCGGTCAAACGCCAGTGAATGGCAGCAACTTCCAGCCACTGGAGTGACCCCCTCTTGCATATTCTTTTACTTTGACTCTACCCTTTCACTGAATTACAGGGTCTGAAGCTTCTCTTTAGATCTTAATGTCCACAAATCATAACAGAAAGAATATTTTAGTACAAAGATTGATGTTTAAAAAGGAATTGTAGGGACCAGCCAATGGCCCATCAAGGAAAGTGTGGAAAATTTGAATGGCTACTACTTTAATGGATGGTTTTTACTCAGAGTGGCATCACTCCTGTCTCAGCTGGGCTTTTAAGAGGACTACATGACGCCTTTGAGATATGAGGCGTATGTGCAGCATGTCATCCTAAACATCCTGTTTGCAGCAAGATGCAGACGCTGCAAAACGCCTTCCTGTCTCAGAAAGCTGAGCTGCTGTGGTGAAGGATGCATTTGTCTTTAATGACCTGTGGGGCCTCGGCTCTGCAGCTCCTGCTCCCTGCGGTCCAGTTCAGCAGCTTTCCTCTCCAGCTCCTCCTGCTGCTTCAGCAGGGTGGCCTGAGCTGCGGCAGTAGTTGCCTGGAAGAAACAGAGAAAGGGACTGAGACAGAGGCGGCGGACTGCAGAGGCTTTAAAAAAAAAACGCTGCTAGGCAGCAGTGTCAAACTACAGTGGCCCTGAGGTGCAAACCCACATTACAGATTCTGAAACACTTAAAGCTTAAAACTAATTTGTGTTTTCTGCAAATTTGTTTTATGAAATGTTAATTTGCCTCTAAGCTTTGTAAAAGGAAATTCATGGATTGTCCATTTATATACATTCAGGCTCATTTTTCATAGTTTAACGGGGCCAGCCAGCTCCTGGATCAGCTCTCTCTGATTCACCATCAAGCTGCAAACATTCAGAATTTCAATCTCCATTATCCGACTTTAGCGCTTGGCTCACTGGACCAAACACCATGTCAGATAGTAATGAGACTGAGAGTGAAAATATTCAGTTTTATACTTTATAGTACTTTCCAGTTCACCAGATCATCCAGTCAGATTGATTCAAAGTTTTCTATCTAAGGAAAACCAGCTGATTGCATCGACTCAGTGACTCTTCAGCAATCCCTCACACTAAGCATGCTTGTAGCGACAGTGGAGAGGAAAAACTCCCTTTGAACAGGAAGAAACCTCCAGCAGAACCAGGCTCAGTGTGTTCAAGGAGACAGAAGCAGAGACACAGAAAGATAAGAGCCACAGACTACACGTTGAGGGAATTTTAAATTAAACGGTTTAAAAGAATTCTTTTCTCAGATTAAACAGCGAAGGCTTGGATTCAGACATCCAGTTAGCTGTTATACATTTACAGTTTAAAAGCTGTCCTCTCTCTGGTTTATTGTGTTCGATGTTAATTTTGAAGTGGATCTCTTGGCCGATAAAGAAGAAGAGCAGCTGTGCTAAACAATTAAGAGTGTTAATAAAATGTAGGCGACACATGGAGGGAAGCGAGGGCCTGTTCCCACCTGTGGGCTGGGTTCTGTCGAAGGCTGCAACACGGCCGGCTGGTAGAGAGAGCTGGAGGCTGGCGTGGTGCGAGTGGCAGCAAAATCCTGACAGAAAATGAGAAAAAAAAAAACATTTGATGCAAAGGGAAAACTTAACATGTAAAACACAAAAAAAACTTTGAAAACAAAGGAAAACAAGGTATAGAGATAATCAGGTGGGCGATCCAGGAGAATATGATCCCTGAATGAAGCCATGGAAATTAAGGCAAGACAGAAACAGGAGGTGAAACAGATCAACTTTTTTAAAATCAGTCAAGCTCCAGGTGTTTGGCATGATGGCTTAGAGATAAAAATTACGTTTAAGAAAACAAATATAACAAATATATAATGGATAGATGAGACTTTGAAGCTTTTTCTTCCCAGTAAATGGCCCTTTTCTGTTTCCATCCAATTTTAAAATCATCTTTAACCATTATCAAAAAATAAATTAAAAATAATAATAAATCACAGTGATTCTGGTCGTGATCTCCGTTTGTCTCCGTCAATCACTATTTTATTGAAGAAAACAAGGCTCATAAAATCAATGTGGGAGGTCTCACCGTGGTCTGGGGAAAAGGGTTGTACTCTTCAACTGTTTCAATGTTGGAGTTTGTCACCTGAGTGACCGACGGATCCTGAAAACAACAAGAGAGACATAGAGCAATAAGAGATTAAGCATAAACAACAGAGATTAGATGAAGCGTCTGCAGCCTGGGATCCTCCAGAGGCCTCCTGATAACTTTGGTCCAAAATAATAAACAACAAATGTTGCAAACTTATGTTTTACTGGAAGAACTGCTCTGAGTTCCCATCTGAGTGACACTAAAAGCAACTTATTTTACATCACTTTTTTTTCTTGTTACCAGTGTATATTGAGGACAATTCATCTAGGGCTGAATCAATTATTGGATTAATTGATTAATGGAATAAACGTAAACTAATTTAGGAATAGATTAATCGTTAACAGGAGTGTAGAAACTCTAAAACATCTCTAGCTGATACAGCACCTCACTTAGAGCATTAATTATAACTAAATGGTAAACATATAACATTTAAGATTAAATGCTCAATATGCTCCATCCAGTACTCCTCATGTGGAAACGTTTTTGTTTCACCTGGTTTAGCTACGGAAAAAGTCTTCTTTCAGGAACATTTGCAATCTGATTATTAATCAGTTAATCAAAAAGATATTTGACAGATTAATGAATTAGTAAAATAATCATTAGTTACCGCCCTAAATGCTTCTCTTCTCTTCTTTGCAAAACAAATTAGTTTTTCTTTATTTCAAAAAGTTGAATCAAATGGTGATAGTTTAATGATGACTGCAAACGTTCTATGTTAGATAAGCAGAGCTTAGTAGAACTGGAAAGCTGCTGGTTTCAGGCTCGCTAGCAAACCAAGAGTATAAAACCAAACTGAACAAAAGATATCACCTAAAAGAGCGTCAATACTTATATGCTTTTTACTATTAAGAAGGATGTATTGGACTAATTCAAACTTTAGATTATTTTTAATAACCAATGGAATAAGCCAGCTGGTTGCTTAATGCTCCACACTTTTTTTCTCCGAAACAGTGAGAGAAAAAGGTGCGAGTCAGAGGAAACTGATTGTTTCCCATCTTTGATCGAGTTGTAAACAAAGGCAGTCGCAGCGTTCACGTGTGGAGGCTCTGCATCAATCATTACCTTTGGAAGGCCCATGGTAATCATTAAATGGGTTTGCTCAACCTGAGTCTGGTTCCAGTCTAAAAGCAAAGACTCTGACCAACAGGAGTCTCCTCTGATCTCAAGACAGTTTTAGCCAATAAATGGAGAAAACCCAATTTAAAATTCAAACCAAAGAGGAAAAAGTGTAACAACATTTGAAAATGTCACCAATAATGAGAGCAGTGCAACTTCTACACCTTTAGAGGACAACTTTGCTTTAATTTGGTCAAATTTATCGATTAAACAGTGAACCTCTGTGCTGAAATGGCGATATCTGACAGGAATTTTATTTTTTTTAATATATAATGTATTATGCAGAACTGTGAAATGTACGCCTTTCTGATCTGATAACATGGGTGAGGCATAAATCTATAAAACTAAAGCGTCTAATGGCATCACGTGATCAGCAGATCATAACATCCCGCTGATTAAGACAGATGAACATGGACAAAATGAGGATATTTAAATGTTGCTATGATGTCAGCTTCACATGCAATCATCACAGAAATACCCTGAACGTTAGAATATCTCATAGTCACTGGAAATAAGGTTTTTAATTGTCCCCATTCAAGCATTCAGGTTGTAAAAACCTTTTGAAGAGCTTCCTGAGGAAGTTCATGACTGACCAATTTTTCAGTACATCTCTTCTCCCAAAAAGTTGCTGCTAACTGCTGTTCAATCTGAAAAACTCACACCAAGAAAAAAGACAATTAGAAGAAATTTATTGATACATTTACTTTGTCTTTGGCGCTCAGACCTCAGCAGAAAACATGCATGAAGAGGAGTAAAGAACAGGGCTGTTTCCCCCCAGGCCTGAAACTGGTGGTGGAGTGGAGATAGATGGAGTTGGTCAGTCTGTAGACTGCTGGTTAGTGAGACGGTCTGCTGAGCTTTATGGGGAGATCCAGTGGACTGCGTGAGCTGATACTAGAGCTTCACTCAGGGACCTGGAAGATTGAAGTCCAGTTGGATAACACAGGCTGAGAGAACCTGTCCATGATGAGCAAGCATAAAGCGACAGTGGAGAGGAAAAACTCCCCATTGGTAAGAAACCTCTGGCAGAGCCAGGCTCAACATGGCGGTCCTCTGCCGGACTGGTTGAAATGAGACGCGGAATATAGTAAGAGTCCAGGAGGAATGATGCTCTGATCAAGTTTTAGCTACGATGGTGGAGGAGGGTTGAAACGGTGTCGCCTGAATTAAGTCACACAGCCAACCACTGCCTGCGACTAGGAGCAGACAAGTTGTGGATCAGAGGCCTTTTAAGATGAACTTTGGACGCTGATTGGCTTCCGTGGAGGCGTGGTTAAAAGCTGATTGGCTGTGTCGCAGGTGGATGAAGGAAAGTAATCAGTTTATTCAGTTGGACTTCTGCCTAGGCTCCATTTCAACTGGCTGAAATTCCAGAATTAGTTTGTAGCTTACAACTAGGGCTGCAACGAACAGATATTTTTCAAAATCAATTAATCTGGTGATTACTTTAATAACATGTCAGCTAAAATGTGCCTGATATTAGTTCTTCTTTTCAGAATTTATACCAGTTATAGCGTAAACTACACCAGTTGAGGAGCTTCAATTCATGTTATTCATATTTTGTACAGTTTTGGATAAAATAAGTTTTTTTTTAGCAAACTGTGTGTTTTTTGAGTTTGTGTACTCCACTTTATTATCAATGGGATACTAAAGTAGTTGATTATTTCAACAAATTATGCATTTTTACAGATTTTTTGCACCATGAAAAACTTTCCCTGTTTCTGTAAATATTTGAAGAATGAAAAACGGTCATTAAGGGAAACCGTTTATGAAACTACAGCTGAAAAAATATAATGAAGCCTTCGACTACTGGCTAGCTAACCCACTAATATTAGATAGCTAGACTCTCATTGTTTCCTATTTTCTTTTCATCGAGTTGCTGTAGGTGTTGATAGCTGTAGAAGGAAGGATTTTCTGTAGCGGTCTGTCTTGCAGCAGATGTAGAAAAGCCTCTGATTGAAGAGCCTTTTTGTTGTTGTTTAACAATCAGTGCCATTCTGCATAGATCTCGCGGGCTGAACGGTCCACTCGCCCTTCACACTACCGGGTTTGGGACGGTCCTTAATGTGGCGGACCCTCGACAGGAATGTGAAAACAAAGGGTTAGTGCTTAGTGCTAGTGTTTAGGGGCAAGACATTTCCAAATATTCATTCCCATAAACCTCCCGCACATTAGGGTGATGGACCTGTAGCTTTTAGCGTAAAAAAAAATAAAATAAAAACAGAACAGCACAAAGAAAACGCAACATTTTTAAAAATCCTATAGAAAAAGGTGTTAAAATTAGGGGTGAGTATTGACATGGGTGTTGCAATATGATCACGATACATGGATCACAATATGAAATCACTATATTGGGATATCACTTTATATATATTGCGATATTTTTCTCAGCTATCAAAATTTAATTTATAGATAAAGAAGCAGGTGCAGTATCTGTTCATCAGAAGATATTGATCATTAGTCATTTCAGTATCCATGTTGTTTGGGGTTTCAGTGAGTTTCACTGTTACTGCCTCAACCGCACAGCTAAAGAGCTCCACAGCGCCATCTGCCAGAGTGGAGGTGCAGAGGTGGCCCATTTTCCCCTCATCATTTCAGGTAGAAATGTTTTTCTTTTTTAACATTGATACAAGCAACTGAAAGATTAAAATTATATCGTGCAGACATAAATCACAATATATCGCCAAAACGACTTTTTCCTCACACCCCTTGTTAAAACTGACCTCATAAATCCAGTTTATGCCATTTTAAAGGAGACCAGCGTCACCCATTATGATGCGAGTAACAGGCGGCTGTGATGTCAGCGGGGAGCTGTGTTTGTTAGATGGGTGGAGAGGTTGCTGAATCAATAGCCAGGCCAAGCGAGGTGTTGGTCAGTGATAAATACAGACCAGCTACCATATACTCATTTCTTTTACCTAAATAATAATCCACTTTTCTACACCTCACAGCCGAGCATGTTCTCCTCATCACTGACCAGCAACAGAAATAACACCACATATATACAAACACCTTCCTGGTGCTGGACTGTTTACAGCAGGAAATCAGCCGATGTCTTTCAAATATGTTTTAACTTGAATGTTTCAATCAATTTCCAGCTTTTCCTGTTTTATTCCCCCCCCCCCGACATGTTCCAGCATACTCTGACTTTTAAGCAGGATTGATGATCCGCTTCCTCATTCTTTCCATCCGAGCCTCTTAATCAAACAGGAGCGGTTTCTTTTACACCAACAGGATATGCATCTACTAGATCACTGCTTTCGGATACTGTATTTACTTAATACGGCCTCACATTTTATTGTATAGTCCTCTGTTTATCCTTATTATTGTTATTTCTAATTATCATAATGATCGTACCGCTTTAAACTTCTGACATTATGTAAGTTAGTTAATTTAATTCATGTAACATTGCTATCATGTTGACATTACTCAGGAATTGAAGGATTATCTATCTATTCTAATTGGTTATAGATAAAGCGTTGCAGAACGTTTCTAAACACAGCTACCAAATGTAGGAGAAAGATATAAGCTGCTCCCATTCCTGTTGGGAATGTTTACAGGTGTGTCCTGAGCAGCAGGCTGTGAACTCATGCAGTCACATGGTGAGTGAGTGACGTGTTGCTTTATATCTTGGGATTGATAAAACACTTTCCATAAGGTGGAGAACTGAATCTGTCATAGATGAGCGATTTTTACCCTGAAGTTAAAAAACAAAACAAAAAAAACCTATTAAGGAATAAACTTTATGCTGTAAACCACATCTCCCTCCCCTTTAATATGATTTTCAATGAACAGCACCCCAGTAACAGTAGCACTACTTCAACATTTGTTTACACAAGTAAAACTGAAAAGTAGCTGATAGGAATGCAAGCTATGGATTAATGAAATTATTTTTTATTTAAAATTGAGTGATTTCATCGATCAACTAATGATTAATTTATATGGGTCCATTTTCCATAAAAACTGAAGTTTATCTTTTATCAACAGGATCCTTCCATAACATGAAGGGCTAAATATTATTTACACAATACGACAATTTAAGAAAAATTAAATAGTAAATCATTATATTTTAACAATTTATTCAGCCGTTTAATTAAATCTGAGCTAAATAAATATTTCATACAATTTCCTAACCCTAACAAAACATATTTATATGACACTGAACTTATTAGGTTACCAAATTAAAAAATAGTAATAAAATATGTGAAACACTAAAGATTTCCAATGTATAAAGATGTAAAAGTATTGTTTAAAGAAACCAACTATTGTTTAAACTGTCATATCACTCTCTGTGTAATACAACAATCATCACATCCTTTCCTTCCAAGCAAATGTCGATGCAGCCCCGCCATGCACCACGCTCCAATGGGCGCCATTTAGGCGATAACTTAAGAAGTTCATCAAACGCTCCTATTTACAAACAGAACCGCATAAAGTGCATTTTGCATCCTTGTCTACATAAAACAGTAAATAATCCAGACCGGACGTTTTGCTCTAGCATCCCTCTGCTCAACCATTACTTCTCCTGCAAACACCGGTATAGGTGAACGTTCCCACATGATGTAGAACATTGTGGTTGCCCAGACAACTATAATAACATCCCGCAGCATGTGTGTGTTGAGTCGGGAGCATCTGTAGCGTTAGCGTGTCTGTCTGGGTAGCGCTTAGGTTAACCCTATTAAGCTACACAACTTTTAACTTTGTGTCTACAACATACATTTGTTTCCTACAATTAAAATAACTGTTTTATTTGTCTAAAATCTCTACGAAAGTAATTTTTTAGGATGTTCCATTTGTCCTTCCTGTCCTCAGATCTTAATAAAAAGAATAAAAATAAGACTTGTTTTGTCATCTTGTTAAATAGCAGAGCTCAGTCTGTCTAAGAACGAAGTACTTTCCTTCAACCTTGACATTGACTGTTTTCTACTTTCAGTTACTTTAGATCTCCAATGAAATGTAATATAGCAAATATAGGAAATAATATGTTAAGACTCCGAAAGAGATTCGATCCTTAAGAAAGAAACGGGTGCAATACAGTTTGTCCGAGTGGAGTTGCCATATATTGACGTCATAAGAAGGGGCGGGGCCCCGAGCATATCTGGTACCTAGACCGGTAAGTCTTTGCCTCCAAATGAACAGCCCTCTAGTGGACGGCATCAACATTACAACAGTAAAAGAAATTTGTTTTAAGTGGACGTTATCAATGGATGAATCCTGGTGTGTCTGACCTCAGTAACCATGACGATATTGCCCAGACACACCTGGGTTAATCAGTATTTTTCAGTGATGAAAGACAGGAAACAGAGGAGCTGCTAAGGTTCAGGAAGTGGTGGAGTTGGGAATATAGCCCATTAATTGGATAATCTAATAATAAATCATAAATCAGTAATCAATCACAAGTAAATTATTTCTTTACATCCCTTATAGCCATCCAATAAATTAGTTGATGTAAGAGTAAAACAGCATTATGTGAAAAGGCTAGGCCAGCACTGAGTAACTGTTGGATCCTAACATCAGATTTAAGGTTTATAAATGATTCATTTAGACTATCACTACGTGCAGATTCAAGTGTTTTACAGACTAAAATGCAAATAAATAACAGGATTACAAAATTATAAAACTAATGCAGAGACAACCCTTTTCCAAATCCATATTTTTCCCGAACATAAAACTTATGAAATGAATCCTTACAGTGAGAAGTGTTAGGAGACAGTAAGGAATATCCACTAAAAACAGCTTCTATTTACTGTATATTTACTTCATCTGCTGGTGAAGAGTCTCAGTCATCCAGGTCATAGTCATTCCAAAAAAGGTCAAAACAATCCACTGGACCTTGTTTCCACGTTTGAAGACGGTTCGCTTCTCCTCCAGGAAGATTTTTTAATTCATAATGTCAGAAATAGCGTTGAGATCGAAGTTTTATATAGTAGCCCAAAAACTTGTTTTAGCTTAGAAAACATGCGTTCAATTTGGGAAGCGAAACGTCTTCAAACTTGAAAACCAAATCCAGTGGATTGTTTTTTAACTTTTTAGGATTCAACTGATCTTCGCGTTAGCCTGGGCCAGTTCTGGCTGGACCAATCGCAGCGCAGGAGATGGGACATTACAATTCATCGCTCTCATCACCTTTCTGCTTTTCTTTATCATAACAGCAAGATGGCGACCGCAACATCTTCATGATGCCCTTTCTGATGTCCTAATGGAGATTGATGTAAGTTTAAAACCTCAACCACGGAAAGCTTTAGGGACATTTCTTTTTAAAAAGGTCAGATTAGCTATTCCCGGCTTGACGGATTACAAAATTACAAAAAAGGGTGCATTGCTTGGAGTTTTTGCATCACATCTGTAGTCATCTGATTGGTTTTAACCTCATGAGGCGGACTCTGTTAGCCCCGCCTCTCCTGTGTATGTAAGTCATATCAGCCTGGCTATCTCTGCATACCTGAAGTTACTAACAGTGGGCAGAGTAGCTTTTTTGCTCAAGTAAGAATAGCAATACTCCAATAAGAATATAACTTACGGTAACTACAGTAAAACTACTTCTATAATTCATTTGACTTCTAAATATTACCCAAAGAGTGAATGTACCTAATTACTACCTATCTCTGTGTTAAATTAAACTGAAAGCAAAGTGCTGAACCAGAAGAGTTTCATGCTGTTGGTTGATGTATGTAAATATCAATAATAATACAAGTCTTTATTTTTTTTTTTTGTAAACACAGAGCATAAGCAAAACAAAACCTTCCTCCTGTTTTCCCGTTAATGATCAGTCACAACTGATCTAGAATAAGTCCTAACTTTTGAATCTTTTGTTTCTAGAACAGGAAATCCCAACTGCAGGACGGGGAAGAAACTGGCCAGTTTAATTTGTGAAATGAAAGATTTTTTATAAAATTCTCATTTACCATAGAAAGCCCATGAACATTATATGAAGAGAAATGTATCAAAAGCAACATCAGATAATTTAAAATCAGTGATGTAAATGTTCTCAGAGTTTATATAAAAAACATTACAAGATGCCACATAAACAACAAGCCTGGATGCAGAAATAAGTAAATATATTTACAGTCTAAACTTTGTGTACATCTAATATTCAATAACAAGTATTCTTGAAAAGAGCCTCATTAATGTGAAATATGCAATAAAACTCCAAGATCAACCTTACACTGTTACTAATGAGTCATAATGGTAACAGACGCCTTTATTACATTTATTCATTTCCTCTCATGCACAGGCAGGACTTGGCAGATTTATTTACATTACTTCGGCTGAATGGATAATAATGGAGAAAAGTAAAGTGAAAGAGTTAAATTTATTTTCTATGTAAAGGATGAACCTGAATGTCACATCCTGTTAGAGAGAAACGCGCTTCAGAAAGTAAACATCATCAGTTTGGCTGAAATTAGACATTTAAAACAGAAGGAAACAGTTGCTCTGAGTCGAGTTAAAGATTAAAAACATTAGTTGAATCTAGTCTGAAACTTATAAGTGATGGTGGAATTTTAAAATAGCCTGACATTCTGGGTTGGCTGCTGATTAACTTCCTGAAAGTCAACTTTGAGGGCGGACTGCCTTCTCTGGAAACGGAGAGTGTTGATTTGCTGAAAGGCTGTCAATAATCTACTGTTAGCCAATAGCTTTCCAGATCCCTCCCACACACCCACCCAGCGCGTTTCCTGGCGTGCTGGCAGCCTTCTGACGAAAAAGCTCTCTGCACCCACTCCCGACAGCGCTTCATCAGACAACGACAAGTCATTAAAATGCTCACTTACATTGAACGGGTTAATGCTGCTGGGCTCTGCGAACGGGTTGTTGTCAAAATCCGACATTTTGTAAGAAAGGTGAGGTGTTTATCCTCTGGAAAGAAGTCAACAACAAACTCTGTCGCTTTAGAATCTACTTGCCCCACCACTTCCTCGAATGAAGTCGGGGGCGCATGCGCACTGGGATTTCAGAAAAATGACGTAGCAGCGATATTACTCAAAGTGCACCGCCTTATACTGGAATATACCCAAAATTAAAAAAAATCATAAAACACGGAGCTTCAATTGTTTTTATTGTTTTGTTTTATATATATATATATATATATATATATATATATATATATATATATATATATATATATACAGGACCATTTTTTCCCCAACTAACAGTTTGTTAAGAATTACAAATAGATCTATATTACAGATCTATATTTGTTTTTATGCAGAATAGACAGCTGGGCTTATTTTTATTATTAGAATAGTAGTAGTAGTTGTAAATGTCCTTACGAATGTGTTTGGAATTTTGCTCCAGCAGTAATACAGCTCATGCTTTTATTGTGAAAGGCCCAGAGAAAGGCTCTAAAAAAAAGGGGGGGGGACGCATATTATTACGGAGTAATTTCAAGCTGCAAAAGGTCCTTAGCACCTGGTTGATGAGGGAACAAGGTTCGTATCAACGTTTTCTTTTCTTTTTTATGTATATTTATTTAGAAATCTTTAAGCTTACATTTTGCTGTTATGTTTTGTTGTAGTTAGATTTTTGTCCACTAGTAGGTGCTAATAGTCTCTGTTTGGGATGCTTATTCAGCAATACAAATGTTTGTGAATAGCTACATTATCTGCTATGTGAAGTCACAGATGGTTATATTATTATACATTTTATTTTATGTTTTTGTACAAGGCATTATAAAATACTATACTAAAGGGTTTAAAAAAATGGTAAAAGATGTTGATAGCACTAAAGGTAAGGATTGTCAAGATTAAAAGTTTAAAACAATTTAAGGTTAAAAATGATTCATGGTAAATTGATAATGTAAAAAAGATTAAATACTGGCTGAGTTACTAATGGGGGATTTAACCTGCGTGTTTTGTAGCTTTTATGGTGTGTTCACAAGCAAGATTGTTCAATAACAAAAGGATTGTGAACCATCTTTTCAACCGGGGAGGCTACAGTAGTATTCTTTTAGTAGTTTCAGAAGTTTTTTTTTTTTTTTTCTTTTACATATTTTTAGATCCGGTAATAGACAGCCAGCTAGAGTAAACCCAACTCTAGCGCACTGAGCAGGACAATCAATTGAAAAAGTTTAAACTAATGATGACACATTTAAGTAAACGTTAATAAAGACTAACAATGTTGCCTATTATCTGTTTGAAGAACATTGAGTGGGGACAAAAATCATGTCTATATGGTTTCCTTACGTTAGTTTGACATTTTAATTTGAGTGTCACCTCACATACATTAGTGCATTTAATCATGTCTATTAATAGATGGTGCAAAAAGGGTGCATAGTACAGTGATTGTGTGGTCTAAGCATCTGATTTAAGTCTAACTACAGAATAATGCACTCTGGTGTTTATTTAACTATAAAACAAATACAAATGTTTAGTTATACAGAATCCACCCATGAAAACAATGTTTAAGTTAAAGGTAAGAACAGACTCTTCCTGCCGAGGAGACTGAGGTCTTTTGGACTGCAGGGGGCGCTGCTAAAGACCTTCTATGTCTGTCTCTGTTGTGGCATCAGCCATCTTCTATGGAGCTGTCTGCTGGAGCAGTGGCTTGTCTGTTCCTGAAAGAAAGCAGCTGGATCAGCTGATCAGGAAGGCCAGCTCTGTGATTGGATGCCCTCTTGACTCAGGGAATGAAAAATAAAAAGCATCCAAACTAAATGATCATCTCTGTTGGATAATGTCCCCCCCCCATGCATGAAGCTGGTGCTGAACTGGACAGCTCCTTCAGTGACAGACTGCTGCACCTTAAATGCACCAGGGAACGTTATCACAGATCCTTCCTCCCAGCAGCTGGAAGACTCTAGAACCACCACTGTTCCCAACAACCTCGACAGGTTGTTCCATTCATGCTGACTTTGCACAGTTTCTACCTTAGTAGGTTAAGTAACATGCTGCTGTCATTTTGCACATCTCTGATGTTGTTGCTATTTTCAAATATCCATTACTGTAAAAATGTCCATAGCTGCATATTGGATATTCATTCTGCAGGTGCAGTTTTATGTTGTTAAAACACTTTGCAGTACAGTTGTTGTTTATCTTTTAACTCTTCACTGTTATGTTATTCTTATACATTTTTCTAAGGTCCATATTTGTGTGACCATTTTTTTCTAAAATTTTTTTGCTGCTGTAAACACCAGAATTTCCCCAGTGTGGGATAATAAAGGGATTTTCTATTCTATTCTATTCTATTCTATTCTATTCTATTCTATTCCATTAAGACGTTTTCAAAGAGGCAGCAACAGTCACTCTTACCACTTAAATTATCCTAATATTACAAATTTCTTTCCTAGTATTTTATTGCAGAGTGGCAAAAAGGGGCTTTGTGTAAATTAATAAGAAATATTCAAACAACAAAAATCTTAGTATCAGATTAAGGATGGAGTTTGACAAAAATTAGGGAGACAAATTGTTCATAAATAAATGAACCGGTGAGCGCAAGACAACATATTTGAATTGATCCTCTTAGTTTCATACGAAAATTACACTAAACTACCTAAACAGGCGTGTGTCCCTTTAGTCATGTACAAAAAAACTAATTACTTACTAAAGTAAGTCATTTTTTTTTTATTGAAATATTTTGCTAACAAGCAAATATACAGATCTTAAAAACAAACAATTATGCATAATAATAATAGACAGGTGCTTTAAAACAAAACACATACAAAAAACAAAATACATATTCTATAGAAAATCTCTCAAAAATATTGATAGACGTATTTCTCTGTTTCGAATCAATTAAAGTAAGTGATTTCGTGTACTCTTTGATTTCATGCAAGAAACATCTGAAGTTGGGGCTTGTTTTGGAATATTTACATATGTGTAAAGTAGATTAAGTAAAGTAGATAAAGTAGTGAGTAGATTTGTGATAAAAGTAACAATATACTTTCCATGCGGCTAAATGCAGTAATACACTCTTACAGTCAATTACAACGTATGTTTTGAGTTTACACATTATATATTGTTAAGAGTCCATTGTAAGATATTGGTAGAGTGGGTACAGTGATGGAATAAATGAGATATGGTTTCCTGTTCCATATTACAAACCTGCATTTCTCTTCCATATATAAAGACTTGGATGACTCTTAACTTTCTCCTTCTGAATGCTGACAAAAAAACACAAGTTATAGTCTTTGGACCAGAGTCTTTGAAAAAGAAGCTGATTAGTCAGTCAATTCATTTGGATGGGATTAAACTGATTTCAGAAAATAAAGTAAAAAATCTTGGTGTTATTTTCGATCAGGACCTGTCATTTAAATCCCATATCAAAGAGGTTTCTAGAATTTCCTTCTTTCATCTGAGGAATATTGCAAAAATTGAAATCTCCTGTCCAGGGGTGATGCTGAGAAACTAGTCCATGCATTTGTTACTTCAAGGCTGGACTATTGTAATTCTTTACTATCAGGAAGTCCACAAACTGTAGTTAAAAGCCTTCAGCTGATCCAAAATGCTGCAGCCAGAGTTCTGATGAAAATGAAAAAGAGAGATCATATCTCTCCTATCCTGGATTCTCTTCATTGGCTTCCAGTTAAATCAAGAATAGAATTTAAAATCCTCCTTCTCACATATAAAGCCTTAAATGGCCAAGCTCCATCTGATATCAGAGATCTGATTGTTCCTTATGTTCCTAACAGAGCACTTCACTCTCAATCTGCAGGTTTACTAGTGGTTCCTAGAATTTCTAAAAGTAGAATGGGAGGCAGATCTTTTAGTTATCAGGCTCCTCTCCTGTGGAACCAACTACCAGTTTTAGTCCGTGAGGCAGACACCCTGTCTACTTTTAAGGCTAGGCTTAAAACTTTCCTTTTTGATAAAGCTTATAGTTAGAGTGGCTCAGGATATCCTGAGCTATCTCTATAGTTATGCTGCTATAGGCTTAGACTGCTGGAGGACATAGGGACCCATTTTTCATCATTCTGCTTCATTCTCTCTCTATTCTCCTATTCTGCAGAATCTGTTAGTTCAATCTCTAATGTTCTGCTCTCTCTGCTTTTTCTCATAGTAGCTTCATTTGGTCTGTTCCTGTTTGGCTGTGACTCCATCCTGGAGAGAAATATCAGCTGAGCTGCTGCCATCAACACCTTTGTTTATAGATGCTGGAGATCGGCCTGTTTTCCAGTGTAGTCCTGTTTCTCTGACTGTGACTGGGTGGATGTGTTCTCTTCTTCCTCTAACATGGGAGCTGGCTCAGAGCTCGTCTGCCTGGCTGTGTGTTTCCTGGACGGGGCCGCCTTGCTTTTTGTATCTCTGCTTCTGTCTCCTTGAACCCCAGTTGGCCTCAGCAGATGGCCGCTCACACTGAGCCTGGTTCTGCTGGAGGTTTCTTCCTGTTCAAAGGGAGTTTTTCCTCTCCACTGTCGCTACAAGCATGCTTAGTGTGAGGGATTGCCTTTGAGTCAATGAATCAATGGGTTTTCCTTAGATAGAAAAGTTTTAATCACTTTGACTGGATGATCTGGTGAACTGTAAAGTGCCTCGAGATGACGTGTGTTGTGATTTGGCGCTATATAAATAAACTGAATTGAATTGAACAAATTTATTCTCGTAATGTTATGACTTTATTCTGGAAATAGACAGACATCCCAAGTCTCCCGAAAGTTCTGGGAGTCTCCCTGATATCGATAGTTGTTCAAGGATACCTGCGAGTCGGATAAATCATCCTGGATTTTAGACCTTGCAAGGTTTTTTTTAATGCGAGTGAGAGCGGGCAGGCAGCACAGTAATTTGTGTACCATGTGTGGATTAGAACTACTGCGATTGCGCAGACACAATAAGAGAGTGGGTGAGGGGAGGAGGTTGCTTATGAAACCTGTCTGTCCAATCCAGGAGACTGGTTGTCAAAGCGCTGATTGGATCAGTCAGAAAAATAAGCCAATTAGTTTCAGTTTACTCTTACAGTCACCTCATTTTACAGCAGAATATACTAAAGTGTATCCATGTCTAGTGAGGGTGAAGAATGATGGAGTGCATGTATAAGACACGGTGCAGCCAGGGGCGTCAGCTGACCCAATACTATACAGGGGCACAATAGGGCACCAAATAAAATGCGAGCGCGCAAAGCACGCGTGCAAAGACATTTTTGGGCAATTATTTATTTTAAAAAAGCACAGGCACAGATAATCAATGCAAGCACACAAGCAAATATTTTATGGCACTTATTTATTATTATAAAGCGTCATAAATAAATTGCACAATAAGATTGTTATTTTCTGCATCATGAAATATCTAGCTGAGCCAAACTGAATTGAATTGGCCCACTTGTGAACTTAACTGTATATCTCTAATCCACTACAGATGAAGGCACAATTTATCTTCATTCAATACTTGAAAACTGGAAACTTGCAACTGTAAAAGGAAAAACAAAAAAAAAACACCTCTACATACATGTCTGTGCTTATCATTTCTATTTGGGCCCATCATATGATGGTGATGATCCTATCATGGCGTGTATATCATTGCCAGAAAGATGGGAGAGCTGGATGTTCATTTTTTACCAGTAAACTGAAGCGTTTCACCCAGCGGCGGCTGGTGGAGATTTCTCCAGGGGGGCTATAAATTCAAAATAGACGTATAACAAAACCCAGTCAAACGTATACCAAGTTATCACACTGTTATATTTATATGAATGCCAACAACAAAAACATTATAAAACCAAAACATAATTTCATGAACAGCTTTACATTTTGTACATAAATCTTGCCCTTCTGAGGCTTTGTGAAGGTAAATCTGTGTTCTGCATTGTCCAATATTATTTTTATATTATTATTATTATTAATATTATTAAATTATTTTTTGGGACTTGGGATGTCTGAATAGAAGAAAAACAACAACTCTAGCCTGGCCCTAATACTCCTTCGTAATAAAAACCTCATTCTATTCAGTATTAAGTTCAGTATAAAGTATCAGATTCTAATTAAAAATGTCTCCGGACCTTTACTGGTTGATGGTTTTTGATTGGTTCCCCTGCTACAGGGCCTGACACGAGCCGTTCACTGAGCGGTGACGTCAGCGCGTTACGCACGGTCCTCGGCGCAGTCATGGAGGAAGTAAGAGGTGAGGTGGATTTTCTTCATTCAAAGCTGCTTTAAATTATCACTTTCATTGATTCAAATGGAAGAAGCTGTTTTGATCAGCAGTTTGACTCCACGGGAAGGTGAAGCGGGTTGTTTCAGTCACCGTTTATTGTCGGTCTGCGTTTTTTGGTTTAATCAAAGCAGCCGAGGAGCTAGAGGCACGTCGCTGTTAGAGCAAAGAATGAAGATATTTGAAGGTTTCAGATTGCGAAGCAGGTGTTAAAGAACATTAAGCTGAAAGCGGAGAAGAAGAAGCGGCTGAAAGTGTTGGCTGTGCAGAGAGATCCTGCATTTATCGATGTTGTGTCGATTTTTGTATCACCAGCTAAATCAGTCCCAGAGCTTCACCCAATCAGAACATCCACGCTGCTAAAATATACAATAAGGCAACTTTTTGTTGTTAGAAACCTGGTGAAACGAGGTCTGCTTAGCAGGTCAATAAAAGAAATGCAGTGGAGAGAACTTTTTTTTTTTTTTTAACAATGGTTTTATAAACCTAACAGAGTAACAGCGGAGTGTTCCTCCATCCTGCAGAAAAATATCAGCTGTGCTGCTGCCATCAACACCTTTGTTTCTAGATGTTGGAGCTTGGCCTGTTTTTCAGTGCAGTCCTGTTTCTCTGACTGTGACTAACTGGATGTGCTCTCTTCATCCTCTGACATGGGAGCTGGCTCAGAGCTCGTCTGCCTGGCTGTGTGTTTCCTGCTTTTCCGCTTTTAACAGCTGCTTTTTGTCTGCTTCTGTCTCCTTGAACCCCAGTCAGCCTCAGCAGATGGCCGCTCACACTGAGCCTGGTTCTGCTGGAGGTTTCGTCCTGTTAAAAGGGAGTTTTTCCTCTCCACTGTTGCTACAAGCATGCATAGTGTGAGGGATTGCCTTTGTGTCAAGGAGTCGATGCAATCAACTGGTTTTCCTTAGTTAACAAACACTGACTCATTTGACCGGATGATCTGGTTGAATTGTTTCTGTAAAGTGCCTTGAGATGACATGTGTTGTGAATTGGTGCTATAGAAATAAACTGAATAGAATTAACACTAGGCTGCTTAGTGGTGCAGTGGGTAGCACTGCTGCCTTGCAGCAACAAGGTTCTGCATGGAGTTTGCATGTTCTCCCTGTGCATGCGTGGGTTCTCTCCGGGTACTCTGGCTTCTCTAAATTCTCCTTAGGTGTGAGTGTGTGCGTGAATGGTTGTTTGTCTTTGTGTTGCCCTGCGATAGACTGGCGACCTGTCCAGGGGGGACCTCGCCTCTCACCTGTAGACGGCTGGAGATGGACACCAACACCCCTCATGACCCACATGGGATAACCGTGACAGAAATTGGATGGATGGATGAATTAATACTAATTAGATAATAAAAAAATAAGAAAACAGGGATTATGGAACCATGTTGAAAAGGGAGGTGTATTGTTGAAACTATTATAGTCAAATAAAGTGTGGGAAATAAATGAAAGTTTAAATGAGTTTCCTGACTTTCCGTCATATTCATATCCTGACCAACAGCAGTGAGATTTATTACCCTGTCGAGAAATGTGACATCCTACCATTTCATCCGAGCAGTCCTTTAGGGCTGATTTTGGTCTACAGCGGATAATAAAAAGGATAACAAATCATTTTGAGATGAAGCTGGTGAACGAAATACTTGTTCATCTGAGGTGGATCCAGTGAATATTAGATATTTTAATTATGATATTTGTCTTCATTCCCTCCTCAGTGTTTCCCTTGACCTGTGCAGTGCAGAACTACGCATGGGGAAAGATGGGGCTGGACAGTGAGGTGGCCAAGCTGGTGGTTGGTGGAGACCCGCTCGCAGTCATAGAGGTGGATAAACCCTATGCGGAGGTACGCTCTCTTCTAAGAAGAAACATTTAATGTGGATAAAATGATAGCAGATATTAAACCAAGTTGTTTTGATTGTAATGTGAGGAAGGCACTGTGCTGTGGATCAGCTGCCCGTCGCCTTTTAGAGGTCTTTATTTAGCAGCCGCTGCTCTGTGGGGCGAGTTATCAAGGTCATTAGTTCACACTCTGACATTTCCACGTTCTACAGATCTCATTGTTCCCGTCAAGGTTAGGTTTCATGTCTGTCTGTGGATTCAGCAGAGTAGCTGTTGTGTAGGAGCCGTTATCCTCATTTTATTTGACCTAATTGCTTCTAAAATAAAAGCAGATCTCTGACCTCCTACTGGCAGGAATTAAAATGAATGTTATGCTCTAAACGGATTAGACATTCTGCTCTCTGGTTGTCCTGGAAGTGGCTTTGAGAGTATGGAGGGAATTTAGTGCCATTATTGTTGCAAAAAAGGATGTAAACGTCCAGAAATGAGATGTTGAAAAACTTCTTTATTAAAAAAGGTTTTGAGAGCAAGTTTGTTGTGTTGTCAGATTTAACCCTAAAAGGTGTTAACAGCAAATTCCACCTGAAATCACTTATGTGAATTAAAGCAAGTAAAGCTACCGAACCATACTGTACATTTAGTATGACAGAAAGGCATTGAGGAATATTTTTCAGATGGAAACACTATTTTAAATGTTACCATGTCTGATTTTATAGGTGATTAAACAAAGAAAAAAATGGAAAATATTTAGCGTCACAAAATTATTTTCCAAAATAAACACTAAAAAAACTAAATGAAAGCCCATTTGAAACTCTGGATAACCTGTCAGACTTTATAGATCCACATCTTGACTAGAAGTCAAGCAAATTTGGACTGAATAAGTTTTAGTTTTAGTATCCTAGGAGGAAATGTGATCCTTTATCTACTCATAAAAGGAGATCTGGCCAGACAGATGTGCTGATTTACATTAATATTTTTAAAAACCTTTTACAAATGTTATTTGTTTAGATTGAGTTTTAGGAATTGCATTTTTTAAAATGTGTTTCACAGATCAGATTCTTTTCACTTTAAGCCAAACACAAACACTAAATAAAAATGTTGTTGCTAACGTCCATACAGACCAATAGAAATTCTTATTTGCTTCTTACTAGGAGGAAACCCCGCCCCCCAGAAGGAAGAAAATGCAAGATCTAAATCGCTTAATAAATAATGAAAAATAAGAAATCTGTAAAAATTCCACTTGAAGATTTTTAAAAGGTTGAATCTGTTATAAAAAGAACAATTGTACTTAAAACTAATGAATTATGAGAAAAAGGGAGGGATGCTTTCAAGCATTGGGGTGTGGGTTTAGATTCAGCTGGTCTGTGCTGCTGATCTCCCAGGGTTTGTCTCTGGCAGCATCCAGAGTCTGCAGGTTGTTAAATAAACCCCAAGCTCTGACTGGAGGTAGAGCATCTGTGAAATTCAGCTTTCAAGCTCTGCAGCAGATTTAGCATTAGTCAGCTTGCTCCAGTCTTAATTATATCCGGTTCCTCTGCAGGGACTGTCATTTATTTTGCTTCTCCCAGCTTCCCCTGTTCCTGCTGATAGATTCCCACACAAGGCTTTAAAAAAAAATCTAAATGGAACCTTGAAAGCACCATTTTAAAAGCTGTCAATGTTTGCTGCAGCTGTGGATGGGGGCCCACCCCAAAGGCGACGCTCAGATTAAGGACAACCGGATCGCCCAGACCACCCTGGGCCAGTGGATCGCTCACTACCCGGCCTGCCTGGGCTCCAAGGTGAAAGAGGCCTTTCAGGGTCAGCTGCCGTTCCTCTTCAAAGTCCTGTCGGTCAACACGGCCCTGTCCATACAGGCCCACCCCAACAAGGTGAGAGCACAGCCACAAATGTCAGGCTGAACTCGGTTCCATGGTCTTTATCCAGCTGTGTCAGGCCAACCCGTGTTTGAACAGAGCCGATATCATTCAGTGGTTCAGCAAACATCGTCCAGCACAGTCAGCACTTCCTAAGGTTTCTGTCAGCTGACTTGTAAAGTCTCTGATGGAAAAATGAAGCTCTCTGTAAACTGGGATGGAATCAGAGCTTTATTATCACAGTAGGGCAGCAACCCGGAGCTCTTTAATGGACCCAGTGCGGCTCCTTGGAACTTCAAAAATGTTTGAAAATGGAAAAAGATGGATTTTTGTTTGTTTGTTTTAATATGGTGTACAGGAAGTCAAACAAACATTCATTATATTTTCAAATGCTGTAAAACTGTGTATAATAAATAGATTTAAACAATAAACCTTAAAATTTCTTTCAATAAAGATTAGCATCATATCCTGCAGCAGGTTTCAGCGCAGCGCGGAGCCAGGCAGGTGGCTGCTGTAAACAAAGCGGTGGGTGTGTCTCAGGCCATGGATCCCAAAGAGGAAAAAAGGAAGATAGCTGATGAGAACAGAGGATTCAAAGTAGAATGGAGCGATTCGTTACCAGTCAGGAAAGATTGCCTGCATGTTTGCTTTGGGATGAGAAGTTGTGAAATAATAAAAAGAGTAATTAGGAAAGGCCTTTCCAGGGAATATATGCGATATATGCAGCCGACCACAAAGCTGGGAGTGAGAGAAAAAGTGTGATTCTAGAACTTCTGGATTACTGGAGGAGAGCAAAGATAGATTTGAGAAATGGATTGCATCTCTAAACTCCCCTACTGCTGCTAGTTTGGTTATAAGCATAGAAAACCGTCCACAGGTAGCGCTCTGATGCAGCGATGGGTACTTTATTCTATTTTTTCCCCAAATGCTCAAAATAAAGATTACACCAAAAATCAGATTTCTTTGTGTTTCTATAATTTAATTAATGCAACAAAACCTAATGCATTAATATTTAATCTGCCACCACAGGCAGGCAGACAGTCTCTTCACTGCAAAATTCATTTCTTTACCATATTTCCTCCTTGTTTCTGTCATTAGACTGTAAATTTACTAGTCTGCTGCTGTGAGCGGGTACCTCTTTACTCCACCACCACCAGATCGCTTGCCGTTGCCATGACAATGTAACTTCCGTGAACTTGTGTTAATAAGGCCCCAAAATAATTTAATTGAAATCCCAATACACGTAATAGTAAAATAAAAAAGTCCAAATACCTTGAACAAATGTATTGTAACAAATGTGCAAAGTATTTTTACTACATACATTTTTAAATAATCCCCCTTTCGCCACTAGGGGGTGCTGCAGCACCCCCGTCTTCCTTGGCCATGTCTGCTAATGATGTAAGTACCAGAGGATGAAGGCCTGAACAAACCAGACATGATGTTAACGTTGGATCCGATAGAAAAACCCGATCATATCAGGTCGCCGTAGTTAGTCGAAAATGTTGCTCAGACTTAAATAAATTGCTGGTCTGTTTTTGTCTGAGCTATGCCGCAATTTGCAGAAATGTCAAGAGCTGCACAGTAAAAGAGAAAAGCATCTGCGTTGGGGAGAATACAAAGTAAAATCTCTGATTGGCAAGGTAAAGAGACATAGAAACATGCTAGTGCAGGAGTCTGCAACCTTTGAGACATTTTCTACCCCCAGTCCAGCGAAATAAACGGTTTTTAGAGCTGCAAATGTTCTATGGGTTCCTGGATAAAGGACGTCATCATCAATTAATACACTAGAACGTTCTTTATTTTTGAAAGAATCACCTTTTCTTTTTTTTTTATAAAAAAGAATACATTCATTTTCGCTTAAAAAAAAAAGGGTCCTGCAAGGTACACATTAAGTAGCCCAGGCAGGATTAATCCCCAGACTCCCCAGACAGGGATTAGATTTAATGTGTGTGTTCAATGCTGTAACTAAAGAAATTGTTTTAAACCGAATGAAAAGGAAAAATAGATTTTAAAAAAAAGTCGATTGGCCTTGATTTTCTTCCTTTAGATGTTTGAGCTCATCCTGTTTTTCAGTGTAGTCCTGTTTCTCTGACTGCGACTAACTGGATGTGCTCTCTTCCATCCTCTGATATGTGAGCTGACTCGGATGCTTAGTGTGAGGGATTGCTGAAGAGTCAAGGAGTCGATGCAATCAACTGGTTTTCCTTAGGTAGAAAACTTTGAATCAATCTGACTGGATGATCTGGTTGAACTGGAAAGTGACCTGAGATGACGTGTGTTGTGAATTGGCGCTATAGAAATAAACTGAATAGAATAGACTTTTGGGAGATCATCCATCGGGTACTTGGATGTTGAACTGATCTTATCCTCTGATGTCATTTACCTCCTCAAAGGTCTGAAAATGCTTTAAACATTTTCAGATCATGACCATGTGAGATAAAACAACTTTTTTTTATATGACTGAAATATTAAAGGTTTTCTTCTTCAAAAAAAAAAACCCCCAGTACTGGTCAAAATTAGAATCACCATGTCAGGCTTTTTAAAAATCTGTGATGAGAAGGAAAACTGTGATTGGTGCATCCCGACTAAAGCTAAATCATCAGTATGTTTGGGATGATTGTCATGCTGATTTCAGATCACGTATTTAATGAGAAATGATTAAAGCCTTGCTCAAAACCTGCAGCTTTTATTCTTTCTTTCTTTATTATCTCTCTGTTTTTGGTGGAAAGTCCACAGAGCCACATGTTGCAGACACCTGTACAGTCTGGTGTGCAGGCCTGGACATAAATAATAGATAAACTGTGACTTTATCCATAGAGGGCGATCAGGAGAACAGGAAGTAGATGCTCCTAGAGCTTCAAAATAAAAAGAAATGTAAAAAAAAGATTGTTATGAGAGACAATGTGTGAGGTTTGCTCAGCCTGTGCTTAGTAGGAGCCCGTCTGTTAATAAGAGTTGATAGAAGCGGTGTCTGACTCTGACACAGGCGACTAAATCGGGACAATATTTGCCAGTTTGGTAAATCAGGCCCGATTCTCTGTGACCTTCAGGTGCAGAAGCACAGAAGCAGAAAGAAGCAAATGCTGAGGTCAACTCGTTTCAGCATAGGAGCAAGGGCGGATTTAGGAAATCTGGGGCCCTAGGCCAAGACAGGCAGGGGGCCCTCTGAATTGTGAAGACAACACATCAAACAGACCCATTCTACAGATGGAGAATTGTTAATAGAATAGACATCCATTATTTGTTCTGTTGTGTCCCACTCTTCGTCTTGTTTTCCTCTCTATGTTTTGTATTCAGCTGACTTTTCATGCTGTCTCTAAAGGAAT